TTAACTTACGCTAAGTCGAATATCTTTTTTGACGTTATTCATCTCAGCGTTATTGCTGTATTCGGCTAAAATATTGTTTCGAATTTGTTCCTCAAATGTTTTATCAAACCAAAGCCATAACGATAGACCAATAACACATAAACCGGCCAACTATAAAAAAGCATAACTTTTTTGTCTTTTTGGCCAGAAACTATAATTGCCATAGTCATAAAAAAGTGAAAAATATCTTGGCTTTATTACTTACCAACATGGCTATGTTTAGAAACGATAAAAAAATTCTGGAACATGTAGAGCAACCGCTTTTTTCACCCATTTTTTGAGGCCTGTAATCGTTGAAAGTTTAAAAGAAAAAAAAACAGAATGGAAACTGACAGGTTACGTATAATGGCGTACAAATTCCACCGAATTAAGTTACCATCGAAAGATGAAGTTCTGATAAAGTAACAAATCTGGTTGAACATACTGTATTTCAAAGCAAAATATGTTTAATAATCAACGAATTTTGGGCATTATACATAAAAATAACTGTTGTATTTCTTTCAATTAAGATTTGGAGAATACATATCAAAAAGATTTAGAAATGTAGATGTTAGCAGCTATCTTTTTCATAAACTAAGGTTGTCGGTAAAATAATTGTCATCAACCTTTAGTTGATGAAAATTCAATCTTTTTTTTTTTTCATATCAGCTCAGAAATATACGCAAAGTAAAAAGTATAATTCACACACTGTGATTGTTGTAAATTGCAATGCTATAAGCGTATTGCAACAAATTTATAGCACCCCACCCCTAATTTTTAATTAAACGTATATCAGTAAGTCTATATAAGTTATGTTTTTCCTTTTCGGCTTTTATTTATCGCTAAAACTAAAAATTAATACATCAAAATTTAACCGCTGATTAAAAATAGACGTATAATAGTGTTTTTTTCTTGAAAAAATTTGTTTTAAGGATAAATAACTTAAAACAGTTTTCACCTGATAGGCCGCATCAATTCCGATGAGTATATAAGTTAAATTAGCCAAAAAAAACTTTTTTTTTAAACTTTTACTTGTAACAACTAAGCATAAAAAGCCTAAATTTGATTTGAAATCTGAAATAATGAAATAAAATACCAAATGTATAAAATGTGCTTGGGTTAGCAAAATTTTCTGTTGATGCTATCATTGTTGCTGCGGATTGTGCACTGTTAAAAGGTGGAAAAAAAGAGTGTTAATTTGGTCTTTGTAAACCTTAATACTGATTTGATGCTTCAAAAAATAAAAAATGAAAATGAAAATAAAGATATTCATTCAAATGAATAGAAGTTTTGTTAATTAAATTTAGTATCTGATTTTACTGATTTATATTACTCATATATCTGTTGTGCAATTCAGTGATATTCATAAAAGTTTATAAGCTTTAAGAGAAAAAAACTGAAAAGCAAGAGCAATTTCAATAATGGTAGAATAACAGCTGAAAAATTGCTGTATAAGTTGCATTTTATTTCAAAAGAAAAAAATTAATATTTTTTATTTTATGGTAATTTTAACTGACGTTGACAAATACCGATAACTTGCAAAAACAAACCCGCATAAACACACAGACACACACCTATCTGTGTTCGTTCCTCATTAAATGTACCGTTAAAGTAGACAAAACTCAAACCCAACCTTGCCGTCTTCTTTGCTCTGCTTTCACACTGATTCCCACCTTTGTCCAAATAAACCTTTTCAGCTACAAAAAGCAAAAAAAGGGTGAACATAAATAAAATTGATATAT